ATCGATTCCCGGTTGGACCGATTTGGGAAATTCAGTTTTCTAAATTGGTGTCCCAGATTGAATTCCGTTGCTTTGGTACAGTACAAGGGATTCCCTAGTTTGGGACCAGGCAATTGGTGTGGTTGTGTGGCACATATTATCAACACGTTCAAAACATCTTCTACGTTCAGATTTCCTCGCGATGTTGTGCTTCACTTTAAATTTTAAATCATTTTTCAAATTCAATTCAAATTTTAAAGCAGTTTATAGGATTTTTTTAAATCTAAATTTTTTAATTTCATTTATTTAATCAGGCTCTCACAAAAATGAGTACGCTATAACTATGCAGGTATATATAATAGACACTATGGTTTTAAACTAAGTGTCCTATTACTTAAAGAAGGGCACAGCATGCACTAAAACAAATGCAATAATATTTGGTTAGGCATGACGATACAAAAGTACAATCATCATAAACTTAACTACAAAATTGTTATATCACTTTCTTTATCATAAATATATCATATATATATACCTTCTTTATCATATAAATTTAAGGAGCTTTACCGTGTAATTTTTGTCGGAATTAATGTGCGAAAAACTCAGAGGCTTGATGTAAATTCAGCAGGCAGTAGGTTAAATTTTAGGCTACTGCCCCTAAAAGTATATTTCAAGTTATCTACTTACCATACATTATATGGCTGAAGAATTCTAAAGCATTCTAAGAAGTATTTTTTATCACGTAAAAAATACCTCTTTAGTACGTACTAAAGCGCGGTCAATAGTAATTAAAGCGTAATTTTTTCCTCAGGAAGCATTTTGCGGAGGTACCTTAATATCTCTTCGATGGGTGGTGACAGCAGCACACTGCGTTCGACGCAAGCTCTTTGTCCGGCTCGGAGAGCATGACCTGCTGCTGAAGAACCGAGGAGAAGTGGAGATGAAGGTCACGGAAGTTGTTATCCATCCCCGCTACGATCCTGATACTGTTATAAACGACGTGGCTATGCTAAGGTCAGTTTCACTTGGAACTCAAGTATTGTGATGGCCAGCTGCGTGTGATGGCCAGTTTTAAATCAAAGTTCATTAAAAACTGGTTATTCAAAAAGCAAACAAGGACCAGTTTCAGTTTACGTTTGCATTGTACACTTAGTACGGTCTCTCTTTGACTGGACGTTTTATTCTTTTGTCGGTCCAGTTTATTACGAGCCACACGAGCGCACGTCCACTTAGAACACCAGATATCCTATGCTATATGTCACAGAATACATACCATACAGGTGACATTTTCAAATCATGGTATTTATAGGAATCAATGCGAACAATAGTTCTGATATTAATTTTATTGACCGAACTTACACAGGATTCTTTTCAGAAAAATTCACTTTGTAACCTTAAGTTACTTATATTTATGGGCAAGATTATAATTAGGTGTAGATATTAAAAGATTTTTTCAGATTAGTTTAAAAAACTCAAACTTTAATGAAAAGCCGTCCACTTTTCTATATCGTCGTCTTAGAGTGAAAACCTCGTATGCGATTTATATTGGTATTTTTCAGGACGAAGATAAAAATATGGTGTAAAAAGTAGTAAATGGAATAATGCTTGTAGTTGGTATTTTAGTTAGTTAAATTATACCTCTTTCAGATTAATCAATTTATTTTATTTTCTTATATACAGGTAAGGTACAATAAAAGCTTAAATACTAGAAAGTAAAACTAGGATTAAATTATGTGAATAAAATTGGGTCCCTGTAGCAAGGTGCCCAAGGTGCTGGCAGCGTTCCCCTTTGTTATGTTAATGTGTCGGGCAAGTTAGTTGCCGGCCCTTGGGTTTCCCAGACAGTCTATTCATTTTTTGGATAAAAGTTTGTACAGATGAAGGGTACCGGGACCCCAAGGGCCTAGGGTTCTTTCAGATACTTTATTACATTAATAATATATTTGAGCAAGAAGTTTATAAGTTTTTCTGCAACAAAAATCAGTAAAAACCGACTACCTATGTGAAAACGCAAACACGAGGTTTTCACTCTAAGGCGACGATATGGCTCAATTGATATAAGTATAAATAATTATGTATTTTGTATATGCCATTGTAATAGGGAAATATAGAATTGTTTTATTAATAGATTATCCTCGCCTTATTATTAAAAATATTATACTATATGACTGTACGCTTTATACGTTTTCAACCGAAACGTAATTTCATAAAATTAAACAATGAACGATATAAACAAAGCAATAAAAACGATGTAGTCAAAATACCCATTACGTTGAGAATACTAGGCTAAGTGGGAAACGTAACAAGCAAGCATTGTAGGGTAAAAGATGATGTGATAACCAGGATATAAAAGAAGAATGCTTCGACGGCTTCGACGGACACATAAAATAATCGATGTTTGTAAAATAACGGCACAAATTAAAAAATGTGGAGTGGAAAAAGGGTTTATTATTGCAAATGGAATTAAATCAGTGAAATTTTTCAGGACTAAATCTAGGACTTTGAACAGTATGTGATTTCTAACATTTAAGAATTTGTCAACTTCAATATAAAACGAATGTTTCCTAGCACTACGAGATCATTATTAGAGGAGGCACTAGACAGCACTACTACACACAGACTATGGCACTATAATAGTGTGCACCTAGCACTAGCACACGCTTAATAGGCACACGTCAAGGACGTCGCCGTAGCATAGTAGAATAAAACAAGTAAGTTAACTCCGTTCAAAATAACAGAGCGGTTTGTATGCACGCGCAACCACTGCGCGCCGTGTATGGACGCACACATTCGCGTAATAATGAAAGGCGCGTTGATATCAGTGTTATGTAACGCTAGTGCATCGCTAGATATGCAAATGTGTGCATTTATACACGGTGCGCGGGCGCACATACAAACCGCACTGCGCCGTTTGTGTGGAGTCACGCACCCGTAATTTCTACTATGACCGTAGCCTACACGCGCCATGCAACTGTTTTAAAGGAAGTCTGGTAAAGGTCAAATGAAACATTTCATGACAATTACAATACATTGAAAGTTCTATTTGCAACATTAAGAGCCATTACATTATTAGACATACATACATATGAGACTTGCTTTGACTTCAGTTATTCGTATTTAAGAGATATAGAAGTTTTAGTGACCCAACCGCGACTGCGTTACGTACATCTCGTCATTCGGCGTCAGCTCTTAGCAGCGGCAAAAGTGATAAGGGTGCTAGACCTAGGTACATACCGATATTGTTCAGGATGATTTTTTCGAATTCGGGATGTTGTATTTTTGAGGACTCAAATTGGTTGGTCATTATTTGTTGCCTAGCAAAGTTTTGTAAGTAAACATTCTACATCGAATTCCACCCAAGGCCGGGTATAGATGCTCATATGAGATCTTGACATGTAGCGGCGTTTAATTGCGAATAATGGAGAAAAGGACGGGAGGTCTTTGCCCTGCAGTGAGATAGTAACGGCTGAAAAATGGAAATGTAATAATAACAATAATAATATGTAGAAGAAAACAACCCTTTAACAGTATGAAATTTTACGTAACACTGCTACTTACGACCGTACTGTATATGTGTTCCCGGCAAGTTCACTACATAATATCTTTGTGTATCGAACTTATGACCTTATAACATAGTATTGCGACGTAGGTGACCTTAATGTCAGATTTTATTACCGATTGTCGAATTCACTTCCTATATCGTAAACCCCAATTCATTGTAGAAACGTCAGCTGGTATTTTGGTACAATAGGCTCAGTATTGGGATTTATAGTTCAAACTGCTGTGGAATACGAGTACGCGACTTAATAAATCTTTTAAAACGAATACTATAATATAGTACACATAGATGATGTATAACAATTCATTCTGACGTAGTTCATTGTATATTTTTATAGTTTGCAGCTGTAATATTATTCGTTACATATCACGAACTGTTGTTGTTGACTACCTCAGTGGCCTAACGGTTTGCATTGTGGACGCTGGTTGCGGCGGTCCCGGTTCGATTCCTGGTAGAACAAATTTGGGAAATGTACTTTTCTAAATTGGTTTTAGACTGGGTATACTGGCAAGTGTCCCAGAAATCCGTTGCTTTTGTACTCATACTGGGAATTCCCTAGCTTGAGATCAGGCAATTGGTGTAGTTGTCTGGCACATATTACTATATTATTATTTGTTTAAAATACTAATAAGTTACTATGAAATAATGTCGTTTATTTCAGCGCCTAATAAAATGTTGGATACAATTTTTTCTTCAATAAAACCCTACACCAAGAGCACGAAATCAATAACCTCTTGATAAGACGCTATTTACTGATTGATTGAGAGGCATTTGTTTATTTCATCTGGTTTCGTATTATAGTCATCGAAAGTCAATTGTTTCAAATAGTCGTATCGGACATAGATCGAACATTGATTTGACGTTGATGTAAATTAACGTTGACCTATTTCAACATAGGCACTTGTACCGGCTTATGAATTTATTGTTGTTATGTTTTGTACTTGTACACGTGGTTACATAATTTAGGTCAATGTGCTTGAACTATTTTTATTGAAGTATTGTAACACCTATCAACTAATATTAGGTTTCATCGGGCGCCACTGGATAGCGTTAGTTATACTCTGAAACGCGCTAGTGTTTTGTTAACTTCCGTAGATTATTTAAACCCTACACTTACACACTGATAGTGCTATGTTGTCTTCATTTCGCTAAGTTCAATTTTGACATCAAAATACTCTGCTTATTGTTAGTTTATGTATTAAAGAAAAGTTCGTGAATTTATTGGCATCCTACTTCCGACCCAGCTACGGTATTTTGTTAGTATTTAAGTCATCAATGTAACTTTCAAGGAATGTTATATGTGGTGGAAGTCTCAGAGCGATGATAATTTATTGATCTATACGGCACACTATTATCACGTGGATGTCCCTGTGGAGCTATTATGCCGTAGACAACCTAACATCTATTATTTTGTAGTGTACATATTATAATGTACCGTACTATACAGGATGTTACAAAAAGCTCCAATGATACTTAGGGATATGACAGTAAATTACTTTGAATATTGTACTTTGTACTGCTTTTTGTACCTTTTGTGCATAGAGTGAAAGTTTAATCTCTGATGGAAGCTGTCAAATTTCGTATTATAAAGTTATATTGAACCTCTTGGATTTTTTTAACGAGATACTTTCACAATTTATTTTCCCATCCATTTGTAAATTCTTATTGACAAACTTCGAATGCGGTGGGTGAAGAAGAAAAATAGGTTACTTGTCAGCCCGCCCCAAAAAGTACCTTAATTCACACTTCACCTAAGTAATGCTTAAGTATACTCATAACTTTATAAAAACATAGGCAGAGAAATGACAAGGTTGATTTTTGTTCATTCTTGACAACAAAATAAATCTTTAGTAGTAGATTAAATTTCACGGTTGAACCCTGACCCGTCATGAACCTTACTCAACCTCTATTCAAAATCCATAAAATATTGCAGTTGTTCCTTGTAATTGAAGGCCGTAGACATAATTTTTTTTTAAGGTAAGTCATGTTTTCTTTTGGTAGTATCATAAAAGCAAGTTGGGCAACTCACGTACGTTCGGCGCGTAAATACCTACGCTTTGCCCGGAGCGTAGGGTTGCTACATTATTATCTTAGTTGTACCTACAAGTTAAAAAAAAATCAATAATGATTTATTCATAACAACAAGTTGTAAACATAATTTGAAAGAAAAATTAGATATTCATCGCAGTGTTCTGTTGCCATATTGAAATAACCTTTGTTAAATGCAGTAGGTACATCATATTGATAGTTTGATTTCAGCATCACGGATTGGTATCTTAATTATGGAGTATGATTTTTAAATAGACATTAAAGTGAACAATTCTGAATTTGAGGCACTCTTGTTCGAACTACCAGCGACCAATTCAATTCTATAATGAATGGCGTGTGCTACAACCTGCGCTATACAATGCGAGTGCACTACTAGATAATGGCCAATGTGTGTGTCCGTACACGGCGTGCAGCATGTGTGCACATCGTATAAGGCACGTTGCTACGTTTGTATGGAGTCGATCGATTACTTAAAAAAATTGAGATGTAAATAATTTACTTTTACTTGATTAAGGGTCGATAATAACATTAATAATAAATAAATAACGTAGACACTCATAGCCTCGCACTAGGAAAGCCCTGTATCGCGTGTGCCATGGATACACACATAGGCAACCACAAATTTCACCCAAACTCACGAGAGAAATTGTTGATCGGCTGATATCGAAACAGGCAAATTAACTCGTATGTTAAAACGTAGAAGTCAAATTAACTCATTTGCAGAAATCGGAGTAGGTGTATCCTGAACTTCAGGAAGTAATACACATAGAGTGCATAATAGCTCCCTCGGAAGTCTCCAAATTGTTGTACTGTTTTGTTTATACCTATAGCAATAATTTTAGTCATTAGTTGAATAAAAATATGACTTGTCTAAAAAGTTGTAAATAAAAGTATAGTGTTAGTGATGAATTTAAAATATCATCGTGAAAACCTACAACATGCTTCCCTGAAATTTTTTTCGAATTTTTCGAATGTCGCTTACGCCCTTTCTACAAAATAACGATGATTTGTTCTACATATCTCTGCTGATCAATCTCTTTACATCTTTTACTTTCAAATTATGAGCATTCCTCACTTTTTTCCTTTTAAAGTTTATCTGGTGTACTAACACAAGATGAAAATATTTGTTTGTTATGCAAGTCTGCAAAGTTGCTGTATGACGCGAGTGCTGGTATTGAAACCTGAGGAAACGAAGGAAGCTAAGATTCTTCGCTTCCATCGTGGTTCAAACATAGATTCCTGAGCGTAGCGAGGGTTTCAAGGCACGAGACGCAAAACAACTTTGTTGCCAAGCGAAACACACAACTTTTCACCTCACTATAGGGAGGAAAATGTTAGATGAAAGAAAAACAATTGAGCTATATCTGTTTTTTTGATTTTAAGAAAAAGTTTATCTTATTTATATCTAATTATTTATATCCATCTAAGCATATCTCATTTTGTGTGATTAAGTGATTATTGAAATTATTTTAGTTCTTCGACGAATTAAATAATTTAATAATCACAATTAGTTATTATTGTCAATTTAATATCAATAATACTATTAATAAATGATACATATTATTATTAAGATTTATATTACATAAATAAGTAATGTACGACAAATCGCGTAGTTGAACGTGTCATTATCTTTTTTTTTCATCGAAAGGAAAAGTTTGGTGCACCACACCACAGTTCATCGTCAAGTTCGAATTTCAAAAACCTTTTCCACGCTAGCGTGTAACAAACGCTTTTGCGCGCAGATTTCTAATGAGAAAGAAAGCCTTTCCGAGCTAGTGAGGTGAAAAGTAAAAATTATCTAATTGTCGACATCTAATGTGTGTTAACGCCTAGAATGAGGAGGTCTCGGGCCGTGCGAACGAATTCGGAAACAAACTTTTCTAATTTTATATAGTGCCTCTAAGGATTGTTTTTTTTTAATAGCCCCGCACTAGAAAAGCCTATGTCACATACATATAGATAACCACTAAGTAGACCCAAACTCAGGAGAATCATAAACGTAGGTCATGCAAATATTTCTTCCGGCCCGGGAATCGAACTCGGAATCTCTGCGTGGCAAACCATCGTGGTAACCGTTCGGCCACGGAGGCAGCATTATAGTTGTAATACAGAGAATTTCCAAGTTTTAACATTGGCTAATTTTGTGATTGACAAGTTATGATTGTTATTTTGTAAATTAATAGAATAGATTTTTAAAAATTCAGTCGAATTTATGACAGTCATAATTACGTTGTGGATAATATTCCAAGGATTCACTTGAAGCATTTCGTTTCCACATTTATATGGCGAACGTCTAAGGAATGGAACTCCTCCTCCAGTCTGCAGACTTGTTCCCCGAACGCTATAACTTGGGCCTTTTCAAGGCGAAAGTGAATAGGCATTATTTAGGTGTGCATGGTGCACTGTTGATCTCATCGTCACTCTCTATCAGGTGAGATGCAGCAGCGTAGAGCCATTGCCCCGTGCGGCACTGGGGGTCTACTCTCGATCTCCGTCCGACATCCGTCCGAAACAATTACTGCCAAATAAGCAACACTTGACCAAATGAAAAGACGCGTTATGCGAATTTTTTATTTTTTATTTTTATTGTGACTCGGCAAAATGACTGCACCGCGCCTGATGGAAAGTGCGAATACAGTCCAGAGATGAGAGTAACGGATGGAAAACACAAATATCTTCACTCCGTCACTATCATTTTGCCGGTTTGGCCAAATGCTTCTTCACACTACGTTTGAAGGACACGATGTTATAGAGGGGAGGGAATACATGCGCCGGGAGTTGGTTCCACAATTTGATGGTTCGGCATAAAAACGAATTGCCAAACTTTTTAGTGCGGGACGGTATTGAACAGACCGTCCAACTGTGGCAACGCAGTCCGGCACGGGTGGTCCGCTGATGGAAAGGAGAGGAAGGGATAAAGGGGAGGAAGGGAAGGGGAATATAAGAAGAAAGCTTCATATTGGATTGTTGTCTTTTAATTTTGTCGAATATTACTTATTTCACAGTAATTGTTTCGGACGGATGTCGGACGGAGATCGAGAGTAGCCATCCTGCAATGAGGGCAACGGTGAGTGTGGCCGAGCCCTAATCGATTTTTTTTTTACTTAAAATTAGAAAATAAATTCATCTATTTGAAACAACTATATCTTGAAAAACAAAGGTGGCGACGGCAAGCGAACATAAAAACACAGTCGAGTTGAGCCTGCCCGATCGAACCACTTCCGTTTAGCGAGAAAATAAAGGGGAAACAAATTTAATGTTGGTCCTGGGTGGCAGAAATCGACGCTACGCGACTGGTGAGTGGGATGTTAAATCCACTATTTTTTTTATAAAAACATGTTTACAAATCGACACTTCAAGATTAAAAGCGTCATTTCAATTTAGCATACTACTGTCAATAATTTTAATTTTGCTTATTGTTTCGTTTACTAAAAAAAAACATTTCACCCTTAATTTCAATTTAATAAAATAATAATAAATAAGATTTTGGGTTTGATTTCCATTGTTGGATCATCATTCAACAATGGAAATCACACACATCTCTTTTACATGTATAATATACATGCTGTAATAAAATTCAGAAACACTTCACAAAACTTTGATTTGAAATCTTTAATCTGTTTGGAGTCAACGTGGTTGACTAACGCCTAGTCAGTTATCTCCTTAGAGGAGCTACATACTCAGCAGTGGGTATGGGCTAAAGATGGTAGTGGTAAATATTTAATTGGGATCTCAGTTGATTTTTAAGTATACTATCTTTGATCTAGCGTAGGCAGTACGAATTCGGTAGCCTAGCAGTTTCTGTTGTGAACTTCAGCCCTAAGTAGCGCACCCGGGGCTACTGTCGTTGCTCTGGTACTTATAGGTACTGGGAACGACTTACTTTGAGATCATGTAATTTATGTGACAGTCTCGCACATAAACCGGCCCTTTGAACAGCTTGCGTGGATTTAGAGGTTTAACATGTTTCTGCGTGGGACATTTCCAGAATGTTGTAATACGCTTTAAGGGATTTTGACATAGCAACCGTAGAGCTCCTTGTAAAAGAGTTCGTCCGGGGAAGTGCACAATAAAGGAAAATATAAAGGTTTATTAAATTTTTTACCATTTATTTTTATTGATGTGTCATTCAATTGATGTGATTACTTTTAGTACCTAGTAGTAGATCTTTTTGTGAAATAGTTCGCCTAGGCAAGTATTGCCACTTTACCTATTTCTGCCACCAAGCAGTAAGTTATATGAATATTACTGCGTTCCGGTTTTAAAGGGTAAGGATGCTGGTGAAAGTACAAGCACATTGGACTTGTCAACTTTATATTTTAGGGTGAAAGGCGCAGTGGTGTCTCAGATCTTTGTGAGTACTGAGTGGGACTGTAAGCGTTATGGGTAGGCAAGTCGCTCACCACCAGGCGCACGAATTATTCGTCCTGCCACTTGACATCATAAAAAAAGGTTTATTTTGTTATTTTTACGACTTGATAAGTTACAGAAGACCAATTGCCATTTTTCAGGTTGCCAGAACCAGCGCGTCCAGAATTAGGACACGGCGTCGCGTGTCTGCCACGGCCGCAAGAAAAACTTGCGCCTCATTCCACATGTGTCATTCTTGGATGGGGCAAAAAGAGGCCCACGGATATTCATGGCACGAGGATACTTCATGAAGCACAGGTGAGCTTCACGAGACTATACAAATATTCTTTTCTCAACCATGCTCGGAAATGTTTGCATTACTTGATGAAGAATACATGAAGAACCTACAAAGTTTGTCATTTATGATGTGTTTAACTCTTTGCCGCCCTAAGTCGGCAAAATAAGTACGTAAATATCTATATCTGTTCACTGCTCTAAACTTTTAAATACATTTACTAACAAAGCGTAATGTATACAGATTAAAGAAAATCTATCATACAGCTAACTGCTCACTAGCGTTAGAGAGCGGTCACATACGGCGAATTTAAGCAGCGATGCAAACGTGATACAAAACAGTGTGCATAAACTTATACAGATTTTTCGTATAAGATATAATGATTCCATAAGTGACGGTATCGATGCAATCGCACATTTGTATCGATGCAGTCGCGCGTTTGTATCGATGCAGTCGCGCGTATGCATCAATGCAATCGCCCATAAATTGCAAGTGTAGCGACGCAATCGCGCGATTGTATCGCTGCTAAAGGTCGCCGTGTGTGACCACTCAGAGTCCGTACTGCGAGAATTAAATATTGTCTATATTTTATTTTATCGACTATATTTGTACCATATGATTATTGCATCTACCAGTTTCTTAAAAAGAAGGCGGTAAAATAAACGAAAGACGTATTTTGAAGTCCTTCTGTTATTTCCATGTTTTTTTAATATTTTACGATAATGAGTTCCAGTGAGTAAATACAACAATAGAGTACATTCCGCTTAATTTAGAATAAGAATGCTAAATTTGTCATGGAATATTTGTTTCCAGCTAAAAGCAAACAAAAATATATGAAAATTTATGATTACTTTTTGAAATTACTTTTTCCATTAGACCTTCTCTCTTCATCTTTTAGTATTTTATTATTTTCTCGCATTGTTTGAGAAGAGCTCTATATATATTTCGAAGGGAACGAGAACTGCCTGACCCTTATAATATCATAACTCATATTCGTCCGGCAATCCTGTACTTCTTCTTCCTGGGCTTCTATAATAATGTATTATTATGGGTGGTAGGCAAATGTTACTTATTTGAGAATTTAGATTTCTGAGATTATAAATTTGTGACTGGTGTCCGCAACTTGAAGTTTAGGCGCCTTCTTGTGTGCGAAAATTGAAGAGTTATTTCCGTATTAGTTTATCATAGGTTACGGGTTTCTACTATTACATTTTGATGTAACTAACCACTATTCAATTAAAAGCTGCTCATGGTAAATTTCGCACATAAATTCCGAAACTCACAGGTGCAAATTCAAATTCGAATCCGCAGCAGGACAAATCATTAGGCTGCGATTTTACCAGAGATGAACGAGGTGGCTAAGCGGTGTACGAGGAAAAAATCCATTCATTTCCCTAGCCTCTATTAGCGCAGCTCTGGTGGAAGAGGGCTAGCGAAGTTAAACATTTGTACATACAAAAAAGCGCAAGATGTGTGCGAGGAATGTATGCGAGGGATTCGTGCGAGGAATGTATGCGAGGGATTCGTGCGAGGAATTTATGCGAGGAATTCGAGTGAGGAATGTTTGCGAGGTACGCGAGCGAGCTTGTCGTATCACCGCGTAGCGTACCTCACACAGCTTTGGTGGAAACCATTGTACCGTTTCAGAGCGCCGCTACATTTCCGCGCACCGCTTAGTTACATCGTACATCTCTGGTGGAATCACAGTCTTAGGCTACTACGATGTACATATAAACAAAATAATTGCAAATTTAGAATATCACGTATGTCTATCATATACAATAAGGTATGTAATCAATAATCATTCGACAACCTATACAAAATATTTACATTGATTAAAATTGTTGCTTAACAGAAAATCGTGAACTTGTCAGGTTTTCATTCAGAGTTATTATGTATGAAATAGAGTATCTTGTAACTTTAAATTTTGAATTTCAATTTAAATTTTTTAAATTAAATTTTCTTAACATTTTAATACATAAAGTACTGCTAGTCCACAGACCAAGTCTGCTAATCAAATTCAAATTCAAGCTAGTCTTTAAGAACAGCAGTGAAATGCTTCGGACAGCTGTCTTTATGGCTTTAATAAACTTAATGAAAATCGGAAATTATGGTAATAACTCAAATACCCTGCCAAGGAACTTGTAACTGCTTGATACATTTTTCAGCAACAACAGATGGATATATTTTTTCGACCTAAAGAACGTAATCTTATATATCAGTAAAATGTTGAATTAAAGTCAAAAAAAGAAATAATCGCTCTTACCATATCGATGGCATATATTAATATTATTGCGGCCCAGAACTGGAGTAGCACTAGAGCTCCTTGTGAAAGAGTTGGTCCAGGGAAGTACTGCCACCTTACCTATTTCTGCCGCCAAGCACTAATGTCAGCATTACTGTGTTCCAGTTTTGAAGGGTAAGGGTGCTGGTAAAATTACAGGCACATGGGACTTGTCAACATGTCTCAGGGTGACGGGCGCAGTGAAAGTGCCCATCAGATCTTTGCGATTTAAAGCTCTGAGTGTCACTGCAACTGTTATGGACAGGCGTGTAGCTTACCATCAGGCGCACGACTTCCCGTCACTTGATATTATTAAAAAAAAAACTTTTTATTTGCACATGTTCAATAGCCCCGCACTAGGGAAACCTTGTGTTGCGGGTGCCATGGACACACACGTAAACAACCATTATGTAATTACACCCAAGAGAGAAAAAATGGAATGCATACAAATATTTCTCCCGGCCTGGGAATCGAGCCCGGGATGTCTGCGTGGCAGACCAGCATGTTAACCATTCGGCCACAGAGGCAGTTAACGCGGTCCGCGTCACTAATAGCCGCTATGCTGAAATGTGGAAGTGTGGGACATGCATGCCCTCATTGTGAAAGGATTTGCCAATGTGCGTAACGTACTCGCCGATTGCTGCTAAGGGTGCGCCAGTAAAGTGAACATAATTCAGCTGTCACTTGATTAACCGGTTAAATACAATAATTAGTAGTGGGTTTCATACGTTGTATTACTGCTGTACTCTTTAATTTAGTCGCAGCTAATCAGTCAGCTTTTTAAATTGCTGGATTTTAGGTTGTTTAACGTAGGAAAGTTGTGGTACGTTGAACATCTATATTTAAATATTTTTCATCGCACTTGCTCGTAAACAGTGTCACGACGTGCAGGCAAAGTCGACCGTAATGACCTAAATTATGCACATGGGTTTTTTTTCATTATATTATCACCCTATGGATTTTTTTCGTCAAGATTAAGCAAAAAGTTTTTATGTTCGAAAAATCTGAACGTATATTTCGCATAAACTTGAAATATAGAAAAAAACCTGAACAACCTAAAGAAATGTTTTATATGCAAATGTATAATACATACGTGAGGCGCACTATATGTTTCCGGAATGAATAAGAAGAAAATACTATAAATGGTCCGTTAGCGTTAATGCACTTTTTCATAGGAATGAACCAATTTTGAAAACGTTTATGACACACCTCCGTGACAATTTCTGAAACATATTTTTCATACTCTTCGACAGCCTCTTCAGGTGATGAATGATGATGAATCGTTGACCGCGTAACTTGTTCTTAATTTTTGGAAATAAATAAAAGTCGCAAGGTCGGGACTGCACGCGGGATAGCTTATAAGGTCAAGGTTGTTCACCTTCAAAAATTCATTTGTCTGTCTGGCGGTGTGAGACTGGCATTATCGTGGTTCAAGATGACCGTAAACGCCGTAGCGTTTTGTCAATAACTTCCGGCAAACAAATTGTCGTGTACCAATCACTATTCACTGTACAACGATTCTCCAAAGCAACAGTAGCCACGTGTCTAGTTTTATTAAAAAAAGAAGCAATCATCCGTTTAGAGGCCCTTTGCACGCGCGCCACTTTGGTAGGTTTCGGCTCATCTCGAAAGACCCATACGCTCGATTGTTGCTGTGTTTTGGGATCGTAACTATAAATCCTTGTTTCGTCACCTGTTACTATGTCCCACACCAAATTTGACGCCCCTTCGTTGAATCTGGTAAGCATGGCATTGCACCAAGTGACGCGATCCGTTTTTTGAGCCTCAGTCAAATTGTGTGAGATCCACCGAGCACAGCTTTTTCTCACCCAAATGTTTGTGTAGTATTGATTGTATTTAACTCATGCCTATGTCTAATCCGATGCCCGAATTTCATGGTATGTTACATGTTTGTCTGTTTTGATCATATGCCACACAGCATTGATGTTTTTGTTGTTCATTGTTTGTTTGTGTTTTGGCGACCATCAGGAAATTCGTCACTGAGATTCATACGACGACCGCGTTTGAATTCTGCAAACCAGCTATAAATAGTTCATAAGTTCATAAAATCATACTACGAAAATTTTGACGAGTTAAATCCATTGTGATGCTGACAACCAATTTCTAAAATGACGCCACAATGTAAAAACAGGTAACAATCAGATGAAACAAACTGTTTTCTACAGCCAAAAAGTTCCATTTTCAAATGTTGTAATTACTTTTTAAATATTGTTTTTGTAAGTGGCCAGTTCTGGAAATCTTATCGCCTATGTACACTAAAATTTATTTTGTGAATTCAAATTCTTAAGTATTTTTAAATACAAATACAAACATCCTTTATCCTTTATTGCCACAATGACACTTTTTGACATAAATAACATGTTAAGCCAAAACATAAACAACCAATAAACGGTACGCCAAACATGTCAGAGGGCAAAAGGAGGTATCTCAGCTTGTGTGCCTGAAACCGGTGTTATTGCAGACTGCGCTGTTTGTCAGCCTCCTCCTTGTCCCTAAGATCTTAGGCGGGCTTAAAAGCAATGAGGGCCTAAAAAACAATTACAAAATTTTGAAAACCGTCACTTTATATTATTTAATAATTCAATGTTATTATACATATAATAAATAGGTGAAAATAAACTAATTTTAACGAAAAAAAAAATACAGAACAAAAAACACAGAACAGAAAATAAGATTAAAAAAAACAACATCTATAGGTCACTCTAACCAATGTGTGTGTGTGCGTATTTATTACTCATATAATAAGGTACAAATAGAAATTAAAATAATTTCCCAGCTTTAGTGCCTTCCAGTAAGAGTGCTTCAGATCCACTGCTGCAAGTTGCTTTTTTTATTAAGGCTGATTTAAATAAGGCTCTGAACCGGTTCGCCCCAATTTTCTTCCTCATTGGTGGGGGTAGATCGTTCCATATCTTTGCCGCACTAAACCTGAAGCAGCTCCTGTACCATGACGACTTATGTATAGTAATCCTGAGTATGTCGCATGTAGTAGAGCGAAGACTCCTGTGCGTTGTAGTAGAGCGAAGACTCCTGTGCGTAATAAAAAAAAATTTAGAATTTGGAAATTATTTATTATCTAATACGTTGTGGCTGCATGTGTCTGTCTTTTAGAACATTTTAGTTCGAGTTGTATTATCTATGGAAGAATAGCTGGCAATCTGTTTAAAAAAAAACAATAAACATGTTATGTGAAGTTATTTTTATTCATACAAGAAACAAATTATCCTTGTATCTATTTCCTTGAAAATGTAATGACAAACATTGTATTGTAGCACGGGCGGTAAAAATTACAAACATCGAGTTATAGCCCTCAGATGTATAGATATATAGATCATTATGTAAGAGAGCAATTCTAAATGTTTAGATTAGAAGTAGTTTCGAAAAGGTAGCAAACCTTTTACCCAAACGGGGTAACTACCAACGACTCACCGAAAACATTATGCATTTTACAGCTAGTAGTTTAATTCATTTCTGCTTAACTCGTAATTCCTCAAGTTTAAGGTCATAAACTAAAACGAAATGGTATTGGAATTCCTTTTAGAACTTGTTAGTGCTAACAACACCATGGTATTGTTGTTATAAATGAAAGAAACAACAATGTTTTTAATTCTATATTTTATTTGTAGAATTTGTAAGAAATTTTTTAAATATTTTTAATACTCAAGAATATTTGTGTATTTTTTTATAATATCAAGTGAACAAGCAGTGCACTTAGTGTTAAAGAGTGCATGTCAATGTTGCAGTGCCACTAAGAGCTTCAAATCGCAAAGATCTGATCACCCTGAAACATAAGTTGATAAGTCCCATGTGTCTGTAATCTCACCAGCACCCTTACTGTTCAAAACAGGAACAAAGTAATGCTCACATTACTGTTTGGCGGCCAAAATATTGTGTAGTAATGTGAACTGGTGTACTACATGTATGTGCACATTTTTACAATACGGAATTTCTGGGAGTTTCTACAAGTTTCATGAACTTGTAGTTAGTTACTACTACGTAAGTAAATTAAGTAAAAATAAGTGAGAAAATGTTTTTATTATTATGTATACGGGAAAATGATTTTATTATTATGTATATTAGCTAAGAACTCCAAAACCGTGTTGTTATCTTAATATCGTTCACACCGAAATATTTGTTTGTCTAGAGAAAGTTTAAATATTCGACTTCACAACTTCACTAATTTCGGTGTTACGGCCTAAAAGTTAGACAAGAATTTGCTGGCCCAACTGCCAATAATACTGTAACATTTTAATTTGGTGTCTCGCTTTTGTAGGTAACGTAGATAATTTTCCTCAAATATTCAATTTAATTCAAGAAGTAACCTAAAATAATTTTGCGGGAAAATTTATGGGTAAAAACATGGTAAGAACAGAGAAATAAAAATATTTCTTAGAAGTATCTTTTGAACAATTTTTGTAGAATTGGTTCATTTTTGTCACAAACTACTAATACTATTTATTCATTTTTACCGCTCGGTTACCGGCCGGACCGGACAGCACATTGCGCCACACGTCACCGACAAGTGCAATTCGTGTACACTAGTTATTTGTTTATTATATTGTTATATTATATTGTATGTATGTTAGTCCTTAAGATATAATATTATATCGATCGTGGCCTGCAATAAATGACTAAATAAAAAAAATAAAAATAAAATAAAAGTATTGAATATCATGTATCATGATATTTTGAATGTACTTACTCCACTAGTTTGTGATAGAAATTAATAAAATAAAATAAACATTTTCGAAATTCGTAAGGGCTGTTGACTTTATCTGTAGGTCAGTTGGTAGTTTAGTGCCCTATTTTGGCATACAGAGACAGGTTCGAGTCCTTTCAGTTCGAAGGAATTTTTCTTTTAATTCGTTCTTAATTATTACGATGTTTTTTATTCATTTTTCATATTCATAATAATGATAAAAAATAAGGTTCACTGTTGCCTATGGTCATAAGTTCTTTCTATATCATCGCAAATCGGACAGTGTATTTTTTTGTTGTACGATATTTTTGTGTAGCCGTGGTTAGCATAATGGTGGTAACGCCTCTCAAACATAAGGTCGTGCATCAAGCTTGCACCTCTGAGTTTTATGAATTTATGTGCGAAATTTTATTTGAAATTTAAGCTAATGGGTAAGGAAAACATTGTGAGGAAAACTGCACACATTTGTAAACTAATTTAATGATGTGTGCTTTTTTAACGCACACACTCATAGTCCCGCACTAGGGAAACCCTGTATCGCGGGTGATATGGACACACACATAGACAACCACAAATTACACCCAAACTCCCGAGAGAAATAAATGTAGGCCACACAAATATTTCTCCCGACCCGGGAATCGAACCCGGGTCTTCCGCGTGGCATTGTGTGGTAACCGTTCGGACACGGAGGCAGTTATGTTAAGTTACAAATCCGCATTGGGTACGCCTGCGAACTGTAGCCCAAGCCCTTTCACTGTGAGAGGAGGCTGCAGTGGGATTATATAGGCTAACTATTAAATATTGTTGTCAGTCTTATTGCTGGTAGTAGTTTTGTTCCTAATCTTGAAGTAACTAATTCTTCGGCGGACTGTTGAACAATCAACAACACCTGACGATGCCTCGCAGAGGCGACGTGTCGGGTATATTTTTGGTGGTGGTGTCTGTGACTGTAATTGCTCTTGTGTTGTTTATTTTATTAATTTTATGCGGAGGGAGAGTGGGAAAATTAACAGCATGAAAAAATATTCAACACAATCGCAGCTATTTTGCACGATTTAACCTACACTGGGTTCGGCATTTACGTTTACTTCCATTTTTGTTCCTAGTCTTGTTCTGGAACCACATTTCATACAGTACGCTTTAGAAAAGTTTCCTTTCAAGGTCTCCACGGTGCAGCAGAGTGCGTGTCGCCGTTCCTATTGGCAGTACGCAATAACTGACAACATGGTGTGCGCAGGGCGAGGGCGCAGGGACTCGTGCGCGGGCGATTCTGGAGGACCGCTACTGTGTCGAGACCGGAACTTGCAGTATTACTTACAGGTACTGTTTTGTATTTAGCTTTCTTGCTACGAGTGACTATATCCGACTGCTACTAGATGTGCACTATGGAAACAGATAAACCCGCCACAACCTGGTTCCATTATCCCTCAAGAGCAACTACACCAGGTTATGATTTGCGGTGGCCCGTGTTGAAGTCCTTAAATCAACTTCGCACTCAGGTAGGTCGCTGCAGAGACTACTACCTTCGTGGCCAAACAGTTAACACGCTTGACAGCCACTGCTGGGGGTCTACTCTCGATCTCCGTCCGACATCCGTCCGAAACAATTACTGCCAAATAAGCAATATTTGACCAAATGAAAAGACGCGTGATGCGAATGAAGCTTCATACTTGATACTTGTCTTTTAATTTTGTCGAATATTACTTATTTGACAGTAATTGTTTTGGACGGATGTCGGACAGAGATCGAGAGTAGACCCCCTGAGCCGGGTGAATTATTTGTATGTCCTACATTTATTTCTCTCGGGAGTTTGGGTGTAATTTGAGGTTGTCCATGGCACTCGCCATACAGGGTTTCCCTAGTGCGGGGCTGTGAGTTAGTAGTAAGTGGTGGGGGGCGTTAGTATTAAGCTATTAAATCTACAATAGAAATATTTAATAAGGATCCCGATAATTGAATGAAGATCTGGCGCAAAGGACTTGCATTAAAGCCAAAAATCTTATTAAAGAAGTATGCAATTTTATGTTTTCCATCTGTGATCGGTTCTTAGAGGATGGAATCGGTATCACGAATATATGTTTTGATTGTTGACTTTAAATATTTTATATTGATGGTCAATAATCCTAATTTTATTATTCCTTTATATGCATTGAGTACCATATTGTATATGGCATAACATCCGCCATAATGGCATACCAGTTGAAGAATGACAGTCGCAGTAGCTGCAACGATGGACTGTCGTCTAGTTATCGGCTTGAAAGTTGCACATACACATTTTCGTGCATATTATTAAATTGGCTATGATATAAAATTGTAGGTAACATTCAGGACGGCAAACAGTACGGGTATAAGTTAATTAATAATTTCCTCGTGCGACATACAAGAGAAGTTGTAATTAAAGTGAGATCTTAAAATTTTAAAAGTCTTGCGCATTTTGCATTCCCTGCCTTCAAGATTTGTAATGTTGGCATGCAAAGTCTGCAACATTTTATTTACCACAATAAACTCTATATTTAGAGGGTAGATTCCTTATTTATTTTCGCCCTTTTAATTAAACAAGTTCAAGGTATTTAGGAGCAACATCGACATTGTGGTTTAGTGATTGCCCTTAATTATTAATTGCCTATAATGAACTGGAACGGCTTCGTTCATTATAAATGAGATAGTATTAACTTTATTAATGAGGACTCTCTGGATTCGACAAGATGAAGACAAAAGAAGCATTGATTTTTTATTTTCTTTGTTTAATTCTTTTTTTTTATAATATCAAGTGATGGAACGAATAAGTCGTACACCTGATGGTAAGCTACACGCCTGTCCATAACAGTTACAGTGCCACCACGAGCTTTATATCGCAAAGATCTGAGGGGCACTGCCACTACGCCCTCCACCCTGAGACATAAGTTGACAAGTCTCATGTGCAAAAATATTATTGGTTAGATACATTGTAGATTGACTTTTTATAAATAATTTATAGTTTTATTTCTAAAAGTATCCCGTGTTGGCTTTTAGACATTAGATTTAGTAGCAGGAGAGCTTATTGTGAAAGAGTTCATCTAGGAAAGTACTGCCGCCACATCTATTTCGGTCTGTGAGTGCTGTGGGACTTGTCAACTTTATATTTCAATAGCATAAAAAACAAATCAAGTGTCTCAGGGTGACGGGCGCAGAGGCAGTTTTCCTCAGATCTTTGCGATTTTAAGCTTTGAGTGACACTGCGACTGTTATGGAAAGGCGTAAAAACTTGTTCGTCCCGTCACTTGATATCTTAAAAAAAGGTAAAGAGGCAGATCTTGCATATGAAATTAAAAGATATCCACGCTTGTTTGGTGTCGATAAGCTATTACGATTATAGGTCAAAAGACATCAATGGCATATAGCATTCTACATTTGCACGCACTCACGCTCCTTATTACATCCCTTGTGTACAATTATTAACCTTAAGTCTTTTGTTTGTTTGTTCTTTTTTCTTTCCGTCATATACTGCATCATACATCCCTATACTGCACCATAAATATGCTTGTAAATTTGTTAAATAACCGAACTACTGACTTTCATAACACAGTTAGCCTAGCATGAAAATCAGGGGACAGATAACCTTCAGTCAATTACTAACAAGCCAAACATGGTAAAACTAGCACTTATTTAGTTATATACCATTATTTGTAAAAGGCTTAAATAAATTATTATTATTATTATTATTATTATGTAATTATATGTATATATAATTGACACCCGTTTTTTTTTAACATGGATTACGCAAATAACGCCTGTATCCATTAATTAGGTGTTTAAAAAAGTTACTTCAGTATAAACTGTAACTATATTTTTTCCAGGTGTTGTTAATACGTACGACTATGTACATATGTAGTTACATATTTAGTGAGAACTGCTTGTTCAGTCGCCTGCAATGATATGCAAATACATAGTGTTTTTACGATCAAACAATCTCCGTAGCATTGTATTGAACTTATAATATTTACATATCTTCACGCCTTTTTTTAACGGATGGGACATCTTTATAGATACCCCTGAGCCCAGGGAGATTCAGATGTTATGTGGGGACTTTCTCTCCAGATTGGAGGGCCTACCCCACTAAAACCCCCTGGGTTTACCTCTCGCCGGTTGAGTCGGCGCCGTGGGTTCGGTGAACATTCGCCACGACGACGGATATCTTCACGCCTGTCTCACACCGGAGTAGGCAGAGACCATGAACCTCCACCTGCTTTGCCCCTGACAAACCTTCGCGTCCTCCACTCCCATCAGTCTCTTCATACATGCCAATTTATTCTTGGTATTTTTAACCTGGTCTTTTCAAATCTCCATCCCCGGTAGGAACAATCAATTGAGATGTGCGTACACCGAGGTCTGCCTCCCCACGCCTTCACCCATATTCGCTCCATAAATTTGTGCCTTCAATTCCTTTTTCAATTTCTTTCTACATGACAGTGTTTATGTGGTCTGTGTACAATTGTACATGACCAAACCGTCAATGTATTCCCCTCTTTATTCTGGTTACTATATCAACTTTCATACCACAATGCTTTCTTACTTTATAATATTTTACCCATAAAATTATTGGCAAACTGGACCATTTGCATAACATATTGTAATTCTAATGATTATTGTTATATATTGCAAATATCACAGCCAATTCAATAGCCAACATAGCACAAATCCAATCCACAATCCATCCATTAATATAGGAAAAAATAAAAATAAAAATATAATAGGAAAACATTTTAAATTATATTGAAACTGTATTACATTTTTTACAATAGAATTAAGATGTTAATTAAGAAGTCCTCATTAAAGCAATGAAGCCTCTGCCGCAGAATTGTTTGAGTGTTTTTCGCACAACATAAATTGTTAAACCTAAATTGTTGAAGTTTTTGTTTCATAATGAAGAAATAAATTTGGTCGCTTAAATTTCAGTCCAATCAAGACAGTTTCAATAGATTTACTTCATTAACCCCGAACCGACGCGACGGTTTGCATTGTGGGCGCTGGATGAAGTGGTCTCGAGTTCGATTGCGAGGTAGGAGCAATTTGGGAAATATATTTTTCTTAATCGTTTCTGCCCCAGTGTCAATGCCATTACTCTGGTACTCATAGTACAGGGAATTCCCTAGTTTGAAACCAGGTAATTGATTCAAAGTCAAAGTCAAATAATCATTTATCTGCCTCAGTGGCCGAAAGGTTACCATGCCGGACTGCCACGCAGAGGTCCCAGGTTGGATTCGGGCCGGGAGAAATATTTGTATGGTCTACATTTATTTATCTCGTGAATTTAGGTGTAATTTGTGGTTGTCTATGTGTGTATCCATGACAACTGTGACACAGGGTTTCCCTAGGGACTATGTTGAGTGTGTGCGTTACTATTATTATTTATTCCATAGGTAACATTTTTACACTTGAAAATGTCATTTTTCAAGCTGCTGCTCGTTCACTACGCTGACCTCTCTGAGAAGAACGAGCAAGAAACTCTAAGGATTAAGATTTAGTTGTCTGTCATATTAAATTACTAAAGTATCACCTGTGATTTGTTATGAATTGCAGAACAATTTAGACACCAATGAAATCAATTAGATCTCTTTTGCTCTGTAAATATATGTGTATTACCTGTAAATATATGTGTATTAATAAAAAAAAAGATAAGTATTTTTTTTTATTTCACTTGTGTCAAAACCACTAAGTTTGTATTAAATTTCGACATGAATATTGGTCATCATCAACCCATTTATACGTCCTACTGTCGGGCAACGGTCTCCTTTTAAGCGAGTGTTTAGGCCATATTCCGTCACGCTGACCCAGTGCATGTTCTGGACTTCACACGTTTTTCGAGGATTTTTTACCTTCTTTGACGTGCAGGTTTTATCATAATGTTTTCCTTCAAATTCCGGAAACTCAGAAACTCAGCTAGCCCGAATTTGAACCCACCACGGCCTGTGCTCGAGAGGCGGTAGGGTAAACCGTTAGGATATCACGGCTTGTCCAATATTAATGTAATTAAATCATAAATCACTTTACGATTTCATAACAACAACTGAAATGTTTTGTTTTAAAAGAAACTATTGTAGTGATTAAGAAGGGATTAGCGAGTAATTTATTGACAATTAGAGAATCGCAGCTAAAAGCCTTTCATAGTATAAAATTTATAACAACTTTATATTTTAATGCCTATTTATATATCCATCTCCATTGTGAGTGCAATTTGTTATCGTACAGAATAAAGATGATTTCGAATGTAATAATATGTTTACCGAACAGGTAGAAGTTATTGATGTAGTGAATGTAGAAAACTGCGTAATAATATTGTT